GGGGGGGGGGGGGGGGGGGGGAGAGATTGCGTGTGGGCTCGCACATATTATTATTGCTGCTTACGCCATCTGCGTGTGGCAGTTGCAAAACAAAACACCCAAAATAAAAAAGGAAAATAAATAAATTCAAAAGTGATTTAAATCGCTGATTCATCTTCTCTTACGGTGGAGGGGCGGTACAGTATAGTTGATGCAGTCTCACTCTTTAGGGCCTGGTTACAGTTGGGCTTTTAGGCCCAAATCATATGTGGGCTGGAGCGTATTGGGCTTGACAAAAATATCTCGGCCCAAAGGCTTAGGGTTAAAATTGTCATTTACATTTAAAAATATTTTTTAAAAGCATAATTACTAAATTATCCCTTTGATAAATTATCACAGATTAAACTTTCCAGAAATTTGCAACAAATAGCCTGATCTACCGCGCCCATCTTCTTCTTCTTCTTCTGTTCCTATCGACTTCTCCTTTTCGTCTCCTGAAGGGTTTAGGGTTCCGTTATGGAGGATTCTTACTGTTGAAGAGGCAGCCATTAGAGAAACTGCCCTCTGTTTCGGTGATTTATGCGCTATTGAGTTCATTGTACACAATCGAGCTTCGCTGCCTCTTTAACGGAGCCTTGCAACTTTCTGATAATTGTTTATCTTTCGATTTCCTCGTGCAATTTCAGTCGGGAAGCATTTTTCACAGTGTTTTGTTGTGGGAGATTTGCCGAATTAGGGCTGTTGTTAGGTTTTTTCTTCCATGTCGATTTCCCAAGATTTATATCCGTCGCAAGATGACCTTCTCTACGAGGAAGAGCTTCTTCGGAATCCTTTTAGTTTGAAGTTGTGGTGGCGCTACCTCATAGCACGAGCAGAATCACCATTCAAGAAGCGGTTCATTATCTACGAGCGAGCTCTGAAAGCCCTCCCGGGTAGCTATAAGTTATGGTATGCATATCTGCGCGAACGCCTCGATCTGGTACGAAATCTTCCTATTACTCATTCTCAGTACGAAACTCTTAATAACACGTTTGAACGAGCTCTTGTGACCATGCATAAAATGCCTAGAATATGGATAATGTACCTACAAACTTTGACGAACCAGAAATTAGTGACCCGAACGCGTCGGACGTTTGACCGAGCCCTTTGTGCCCTTCCAGTGACACAACATGATCGCATTTGGGAGCCATACCTCGTTTTTGTTAGCCAAAAGGGTATTCCAATTGAGACCTCGCTTAGAGTTTATCGAAGGTATTTAAAATATGATCCAACACATATTGAAGACTTGATTGAATTTTTGGTTAATTCAAATCTGTGGCAAGAAGCTGCTGAGAATTTGGCTTCCGTGTTGAATGACGATCAATTTTATTCTATTAAGGGGAAGACCAAGCATCGGCTGTGGTTAGAGTTGTGTGATTTGCTCACTAGACATGCCACTGAGGTTTCAGGGTTGAATGTTGATGCTATAATACGGGGCGGCATTAGGAAGTTCACTGATGAAGTAGGGCGCTTATGGACATCACTTGCAGAATATTACATCAGAAGGAATTTGCACGAGAAGGCAAGAGATATATTTGAAGAGGGGATGACTACTGTTGTTACGGTAAGAGATTTTAGTGTGATATTTGATTCATACTCTCAATTCGAGGAGAGTATGCTAGCTCATAAAATGGAAAATATGGATTTGAGTGATGAGGAAGATGAAGCACAGGAAAATGGTCTCGAGGAGGAGGCGGAAGAGGACATCCGATTAGATCTTGATTTATCAGTTTCTAAGTTTGAGAAGAAGATACTTCTAGGGTTTTGGATGTACGATGATAATGACATTGATTTAAGGCTAGCTAGGTTAGACCATCTAATGGACAGAAGACCAGAATTAGCTAATAGTGTTCTTCTACGACAAAATCCTCATAATGTCGAACAATGGCATCGGAGGATTAAATTATTTGAGGGCAATCCCACAAGACAGATATTGACGTATACTGAGGCTGTGAGAACAGTGGACCCCATGAAAGCAGTAGGTAAGCCTCATACCTTGTGGGTTGCTTTTGCTAAGCTGTATGAAACCCACAAAGATCTTCCAAATGCAAGAGTTATTTTTGACAAAGCTGTACAAGTTAACTACAAGACTGTGGATAACTTGGCTAGCATTTGGTGTGAATGGGCGGAAATGGAATTGAGGCATAAAAATTTTAAAGGAGCTCTCGAGCTCATGCGTCGAGCTACAGCCGAGCCATCTGTTGAAGTCAAACGAAAAGGTAGCTCCAAAATGCTTTCACATTAGTAATTCCACTCATGTATAATTATGTTACTGATTCTCTCATTTTCAGTTAATGGTAATCTAGGTTTTTCTTGTGTTAATGCATCTTGGCATTTATTCGCAAGTATTTTGGTCGCTTAGACCAAGGAATTAAATTAGAGGTAATTTTGTAGGATATTTTGAACAATAAGTTAAATAGTTTGTTTCTCAACAAAATAATACTCATTTTAACATGCCTGTATTTGTCATTGTCAATTTAATATGAGCTCAAGGTATATGGAGCAGCAGTAATAGTTACATTGGTTTATGGTTATAATTGCAGTGGCTGCTGATGGTAATGAACCGGTCCAGATGAAGGTGCACAAGTCCCTAAGACTTTGGACCTTTTATGTGGATCTGGAAGAAAGTCTTGGAACCTTGGAGTCTACCCGTGCAGTTTATGAGCGAATACTAGACTTAAGAATTGCTACCCCACAAATTATAATCAACTATGCTTTGCTTCTTGAGGTATGCTAAATTTGGATTATGTCAGTTTACCTTACCTTTTCTATTCTGTGGACGGATTAACTCATAATTTTGACATGGCCAGGAACACAAGTACTTCGAAGATGCATTCAAGGTTTATGAAAGGGGAGTCAAGATTTTCAAATATCCTCATGTTAAAGATATATGGGTTACATATCTATCCAAGTTTGTAAAAAGATATGGGAAGACAAAATTGGAGCGAGCAAGAGAACTATTTGAGCATGCGGTTGAAACGGTATGTATAATGAATCTCTTATCCATCTCTTGCATCTCTTTGAATCAATAGAATTGGTTCTTATGAGAAAAAAAGAAAAAGGTTCTTGTAATTATGCTGGAATGCAATTTTCCTGAAACTATCTAATTGTAATAGATTACAAAAAAGAAGCCTTTTGAATGTTCCATGACAGTTGGAGATCTTTGAAATTATTCTACTTTGGCTTGGTTTGAAGAAAGTACAAGAGTTCCAAGATGCTTATGAAGTTGTAAAAGTTCTGTAAAGACTGGTGTCTGTAGTTTAAACATATTTGAAGCAAAAATAATGGACACTTGTTTTTTTCTTTTTTAAGGAAACAATTTTCATTGATTGAGACTTGTAAATTGCCCCTCTAGCAATAGATATACATTCTTTTTTCCATTCCAAGTGACTGTCATATGTTCTTGTTCGTCTGGATCTATTTTAGATTATGAAAGTTCTTTGTTTCTGTTTTTGGAAATAATGAAAATGGTAGGTAGGATTTGTGTTTGGTAGTTCTTAAGGAGACCATTTAGGATCTTAAAATCCAGTGTTTCCTCACCTTTATTCCCTTCTGGAGCAATACTTTTTGAGTATTTCTTGCTTCATTATAACATTCTTTTTCATTTAGTAGATTCAAGGCCTTGCCATTGTTTGGCAGTCGAATGATATACAATAGATATGATAATGCTAATGGTTCTATATTTTGATTGTGCTTCCAGGCACCCGCTGATTCAGTTAGGCCTTTGTATCTTCAATATGCAAAGCTTGAGGAAGACCATGGTTTGGCAAAGCGGGCTATGAAGGTCTATGATCAGGCAACTAAAGCTGTTCCAAATAATGAGAAACTGAGCATGTATGAAATATACATTGCCCGTGCAGCCGAGATATTTGGTGTTCCTAAAACTAGAGAAATCTATGAACAAGCAATAGAATCTGGTCTTCCGGATCAAGATGTGAAGACCATGTGCTTGAAGTATGCTGAGCTGGAGAAGAGTTTGGGTGAAATTGATCGTGCTCGTGGAATATATGTATTTGCTTCACAGTTTGCAGACCCGAGATCAGATTTGAACTTTTGGAACAAGTGGCACGAGTTCGAGGTCCAACATGGAAATGAAGATACTTTTAGAGAGATGCTTCGTATCAAAAGGAGTGTTTCTGCTAGCTATAGCCAGGTATTTTCTTATTCAACACTTCTAATGTTAACTGGAAATATTGTTAACTGAGAGTACCTCAATTTCGTGAATTTCAAGACTGTGGGCTATAAGAATATGGTATTATTATAACTAAATCTTACACATTTGTACCGTTTTCTGTTCTTCAGACACATTTTATACTGCCGGAGTATCTAATGCAAAAGGATCAGACACTGAACCTTGACGAGGCAAAAGACAAATTGAAGCAGGCTGGGGTTACAGAAGACGAAATGGCTGCTCTTGAGAGGCAGTTGGCCCCGGCAATCGAAGACTCGGCCAAAGATAACAGCCGTAAAGTTGGTTTCGTGAGTGCTGGAGTGGAGGAATCACAAGCAGATGGAGTACCAAAGGTCACTGCTCATCAAGAAGACATTGAATTACCAGATGAAAGTGACTCGGAAGAAGACGAGAAGGTTGAAATTGCTCAGAAAGAAGTCCCATCTGCAGTTTTCGGAGGCCTTGCTCGAAAGAAGGAAGACTCCGATGAGACCGACAGAGAGAAGGACGATGACAGCCATCTTGGTGCGCTTGAGAGAATAAAAAGGCAAAAAAAAGCTTAGTAGTAGTGTTTTGTAATTTAATGAAGAGTTGTGTTAAAATTAATGAATTTTTGAAGGAAATATCAACAAAAAAAACACCCACCCTTCCTGCATTCTTGGGGTTTATGGTAGAAAAGAACATCTTTTTAGACTATAAATTACAAGTAATCGATTATTTCAAACTGAGATTTATTTCATTTCTCTCTAATTTTAATCGTTTTCTCTTGGAGTTGGATCAACAAAGTGCAATTAAAGGAAATAACAACAACAAGGTGCATATTTTGACAATCCATGTCCATCATGGAGCAAGCAGTATCTTCCCAATATGTTTGCTACTCTCCATCAGCTTGTGGGCTTCTGCTGCTGCTGACAATGGAAGATACTTGAAGATCACAGGCTTCACCTTGCCTGCTGCAATGGCTGGCCAAACTATCTTCTCAACTTCACTAACAATGACTGCTTTGTTCTCAAGAGATCGGTTTCGCAACCCAGCCGCTGCATACACGATACATGATACTTCGTCATTGAAAGATTATGTTCCAGAAAAGATGGAGGATACGAGAAAAGACCAATGCTTCGAAAACGGGTTTATCTTTTTTATAATGTTCCATTTTCGTTTGCATTTGAAGCATATGATCATATATTGATTGATATAACATTTTGTGTATATATAACTCACTTTAACTCCTGTAATTACAAATCAGTAGAACGAGTTTCTGATTTGAAGGGCATGAACAAAAGCTTCTTTGAATATACGCTCAGACTGCAATTTATATCAACAAATCTCATTTAGAATGATCTTACCCTGCACAGTGAGGCGTTTCGCAAACAAACTGCGAAAATCTAGCTGCGTTACTGCTCCTCCCATGGTTCCAATAATAAAAAGCCTTCCATCTAAGTTTAAGCTTTCAAGGTTGCGCTGAAAGTATGGGGCTCCAATGCTATCGAGAATAACATCCACACCTGTCAAGGCATAAAGTTTCAGAGCTGCAATCTTAGGAAGGAACAAGCATTCCGGAAATGGAACCTTTAAAGACAAACCTTTTCCATCTGTTTCTTCTTTCACTCGTGCAACAAAATCTTCAGTTTTGTAATTGATGCACACATCTGCTCCAAGGTCTTTGCAGACAGCTAATTTATCTTCACTACCTGGCGACGAAGATTCAAAAACATCAGGACAAACTCAGGAACCGATAAAAGATGAACGTAATCGCTAGACCTGCAGTAACAAATACTCTTGCTCCTTGGTATTTAGCTATCTGAATGGCAAAAGTACCAATTCCACTTGAGCCTCCATGAACCTGAAATTTGAATACCCTTTCATTCATGATGGCAATACATAAATGAATTCAGTTCTGATTATAAGTGAATCCATGTTTATCAACACATCCCCAATGGCAACATTCTTCTTTCTTTGATTTTCCTTTTCACTCTTTTTCTATCTCAACCAAGTAAACTAAAACCAACATGAATTTTTCCAAAATCATACCAACAATGTCTCTCCCCTCGATAATCGACTTGTCATAAACACAGTCGACCAAACGGTGCATGCCACCTCCGGAAGACTAGCAGCATCCTTCAAGGAAACACCAGGTGGAATTGGAAGTACTTGCCCGGCTGGGACAGCCACTTTCTCGGCATATCCGCCTCCAGCAAGAAGAGCACATACCTGTGATGCAGCAGTATGTTGAATGTTCAGATGCTAATGATTTCAATTCCTTGAAGCATATAGTATATGAGGAATTGTTCCCTACGCGTAAAATATCACTAAAGAACGTTTTGAATCCTCAAACGAGAATTATAAAACTCTCTGATGTTATCATTTCAAAGAACAAGAAACAAGAGGTGACATAGGGCACAATATTGAGAAATTACAGAAGAAACAGACTTATCTAATTCAAAACAATTTCCATGCAACAAGATGAACTAGAAATGAATTCCTCTCGCCCCCATTAAAACACAAAAACCTACCCTTAAGACTTGACAGATAGAGAAAAAAAAAATTGAACTCAGAATAATTCGAGAACACTGCAACAAGATGAGATAGAAATGAATTTCATAAATGACCTGATCGCCAATCTTCCAGCGGGAGACGTTTCTCCCAACGGCTTCGACGATCCCAGAGCATTCGAGGCCCAGAAACGGACTGGCACCCTTGGGCGGGGGATAGAGGCCTTTCCTCTGTAACGTGTCGGCCCGATTCAGGGCAGTGGCTTCCACCTTGATCAGAACCTCATCGTCCTTGATTATTGGGTCGTCAACCTCCTGCAATTGAAGAACTTCCGCCTCGCCGGGCTCGCTAATCACGATAGCCTTCATTGTTTGTCTGCTGGTGGAGTTCTCAAATCACACGCCGAATAAATTCGAAGAACATATTCTATTTCATTTATTTTATATTAATTAAATTACAATTTGTTTATTTATTTATTTGTAAAGTTAAATTAACAAAAAATAATAATAATAAAATAAATTATATATATATATTTTTTTTTTATTTATTTATTTTTTTTTTTTTTTAAGTAACGATATTTTTATTAATTTAACTGATGTAATTTTTATTTTTATTTTTTAAATTGTACAATATGTTTAATAAAATTAAAAGTTTTAACTTCTAAAATTTAGACCTTTTTTTTTTTTTTTAAGAAAAACAAAAGCAAAATAAATAAAACATATATTTTGGCATTAAATAATTGGAAAAATCACTTGTTAACTAACTATCCATTTTCTAGATTTACGCTCGTAACCTCTGATTGGCTGAGAGGCAAGCGTCGAAGAACGAGTATAATTTTGCAGGCGAGCTTCAGAGCCGACGGTCAAGTAGGTGAAGTCGGAGCTGCAATCACTGGGAAGAGTAGGGTTCCGATTTCACTGTGTTGATTGTGGAAATGGGCCAATTTGAGCTTTGCTTGATCGCGAAAGCGTTCGCATTCCTGCTACTTGTACCTGGAATCCTTGGCTGGGGAAAAGAAGGTCACTACCTAATTTGCAAGATAGCGGAGGTAAGCATCTGTTGCGTTTGATTTTGTCAAGCTTATCGATGTTACAAAAGGTTTATAGGAAAGGATTATAGCTGATGGGATTTTGGTTTCGGATTCTTGAAACTGTAGCTATCGCAGTTATAATAGCGTAGGCCAGGATTCGATTACATTAAACATGGTGAAGGAGAGAGGATTCTTGTGAAATTTGGTTAGCTATTAGAGAACTTTTTGACCATTTGGATTTTTTTTTTGCATAAAAACTGAAGTAAATTCTTTTAGCCACTATATCAGGTCCTTATTAAGCTACAAACTTTTAGTGGGGAGTTGTTTTGGAGCTTATTATAACTTATATCACCCTATGATTAAGATTGCAGCCCTTGGATCCTGTAAAAATTTTGTTGTAGTCAAAATCTGATGTCACTAACTTTGGTTTTAGGGATATTTCACTGAAGATACTCTATCCATGGTCAAAGAATTGCTTCCAGCTTCTGCTGAGGGAGATCTTGCGGCTGTATGCTCCTGGCCTGATGAAATTCGATGGAAGGCTCATTATCGCTGGAGTAGCGCCCTACACTACGTCGACACGCCTGATTTCTTTTGTAATTATAATTACTCGAGTAAGTTTAGCTTTATGGCATTTTCAGTTTCTCTTGTGGTCTATTATGCCATATAACTGTTTGATATCATGCTTGTTGTTCATGAGCTTTAAGACTCAAATTCGTTGTTGAACCACAAGATCAATACTGAAGCTGAGACATTTTATAGCTCATGATCACATATCCGATGCATCCTCTAAAGTTGTGTTCTATGGCTAAGGTCATCGCTGTCTAGCTGATTCCTATAGTATTATTGTGAGATCCCACATCAGTTAGAGAAGGGAACGAAGCATTCCTTATAAGGGTGTGGAAACCTCTCCCTAATAGACGCGTAAACCGTGAGGCTAACGGCGATACGTAATGGGCCAAAGAGAAAAATATCTGCTAGCGGTGGGCTTGGACTGTTACAACTATAGTATCGATGTCTTCTTGAATTATAATTTTCGTATGCATCAGAATCTAAAATTTTGACTGAGAGCAAATTTGTTTTTCAATTCAGGAGCAGTAGCCTGCTGTTGCCTTTCTAGCTTTGAAACATCTAATGTTGACAACTATGAAGTTAACGAAAACCAGTCATTCTGAATATGTCATATACAATGGTTATTAAATTCAATTGAGTTTTGATTCCGTTCATTCAACGAGGCATTTTTAGTTGGAAGATTTAACTCTAATAACTAATTTTCGATACTTGAAACTTGAAAGTGCTATTTTGACAAAGTCTGCTTGTGTAACGGTATTCTCTGCTTAATATAGGAGACTGTCATGATACTCATGGACATAAGGGTAGATGTGTGACTGCAGCAATTTACAACTATACTAGGCAACTCGAATCAGCTTACAAAGAGATGACTTCAGAAATTAGATGTAAGCATCGTAGATGACTAACGTTGTATGTATACACTTTTCGAACAAATGTCACTTACGTTCACATGATATTTTCAGATAACTTAACAGAGGCTCTTATGTTCTTGTCCCATTTTATCGGAGATGTCCATCAGGTTTGCTCTTTCTACAGATCTGAACTTTAAGGCACATAGATAAATCGAAAATATAAAGTGCTAGATTCATGAAACTGGTATAACAGCAAAATTTAGTGCTCTGAATATAGTTGAAATTCACTCAATGGGCTATTCTCAAGCTGCTCATCCATTCCAAATAAGATTTCTTAAAGTTTGATTAGTAGGTTCGAGTATTAATTACATAGATACATTATAGCCTCCATTAGTGGAGTCTCTCACCTTTTTCTTTTACAGCTCTAAAATTCTATAATATAATGCCTTTTGAAATTCTTCAGTGGTTCTGGTTTCTTGTACCTACTGCATTTTTCGAAAAAGAGTCGATTAATCCACGATTTCGCCTCTTTGCATCTGATTTTCCTTTTTCAATGGCAGCCCCTGCATGTCGGTTTTGTTGGAGATCTAGGAGGTAATTCAATAACAGTCCGTTGGTACCGTAGAAAGACTAATCTCCATCATGTAAGTGTCAATTGGAGATTTCAACCCCCTCCCACATCACAAGTACCCTCCTTTACTCTTTATTCTTCTTGAACCTGTAACCAGTAGACTAAAAACACAAACCATCTTCAAAGGTTTCGTCATGATGGTTAAAACTTCATGATCGGAATCCCATGAAATTCTGCAGAATGTTGTGGTTTTTATTCATCTGGTATTGAAATAGTTTTGTCCATAAAAAAGAAATAGTTTTGCTTCAGGTATGGGATAACATGATCATTGAGTCTGCCTTGAAGACATTCTACCATTCAAACCTTACACTAATGATTCAAGCCATCCAAACCAACATTTCGGTAAGCCTCCTCTTTCTACTTTTATGTCCTTATATACCTTTTACGACAGGAGTAGAACTTGTATTTCTTATCTTAAACTTGTTGTTCTCTTTCCTTATGGCATCATCTTTTTAAATTTCTGAAGGGTGAATGGTATAATGATGTCTCAGCTTGGAGAAATTGCGCACTGAACCATACAGCCTGTCCTAACCCGTGAGTTTTATTTATTCTTCTCCCTTATCCATGTATGGTGAGATGCTAACATTTGAAACCATGTAGTCAAATGATTCCTCTGCTATCAGACGAACACCCTGATTAGTATACAACTGTGAGATGTGCTTGTGATAGAGAAGGAATTGTCTTGTTCATGTAACGGCCCAAGCCCACCGCTAGCAGATATTGTCTTCTTTGGGCTTTCCCTCAAGGTTTTTAAAACGCATCTGCTAGTGAGAGGTTTCCACACCCTTATAAAAAAAATATTTTGTTTTCCTCTCCAACCGACGTGGGATCTCACAGTTCATGTCTCTAAGACTTCAAGCAGCGAATTATAACATGTTGCTGAGACAGTGAGACTTAAGATGTCCTTTTCTTTAGTTTGGAAGGGGAGAAATATATTCAGAGGATGAAAAGTAACCTTCATTTGCCTACCCTAAAGTTCTTGGCATAACAAAATTTATTGCGGTGCCTCTTATCTTTCAGGTATGCTTCTGAAAGTATTAGATTGGCATGTAAATATGCATACAGGAACGCCACTCCAGGAAGCACACTAGAAGGTATGGCTTCTTTATCACATCAACTTACCAATGCTGTGGTTATAAGTAGGTGGAATAGTTCAACTCTTTTCCAGTTTTTGCTCCGTGATCTTAGCTTCTTGTATCTATTGAATTTAGAGTTCAGTGGCTGGCTGCCCAAATAAGCAAAAGTTCTATTGTTTGTTGCAGACAGTTATTTTCTCAGCCGGCTGCCAATCGTTGAGAAAAGGTTAGCACAAAGTGGCATAAGATTAGCTTCTACCCTCAACCGTATCTTTGCTTCTGAAGTAAAAGTGGCTGAAATTTGAAGGATCCATTTCTATAAGTCATTAAAATGGTTGAGAACATGAATTGATTAGTGTTCCATTCTTGTGTCTTTGTATATTATACTATTAACTAGGACAGTCGTCACTGTAAACGACATGATATTGAGGAATAATATGATTGTTGATTTACTGCTTTTGTTCTGCATTTTAAAGATCAAAGCCAGAATGCTGTCTAAGTTCATAGAATAGACAAACCCCATCCCATATTCAATCTAGAAACCCAGATTGTGACGGATTCATAGGAGATAACGAACTGTCAAACATAAACATCTGATGTGACATCCTTGACAACGCAGACCACTTTTTTGGCTGCTTTCTAGAATGTGGAAAGACCAGTTTATTTACCAAGAATCAAATTTTGGTCCATCTGAAGTCGTAGTTAAAACAGTGGAGTGTAATTGCAAAGATGGCTTCTTTGAATGTGTAACGACCTAGATCCACCGCTAACAAATATTGTTCTATTTGGACTTTCCCTTTTGGGCTTCCCCTCAAGGCCTTAAAATGCGTCTGCTAGGGGAAGGTTTCCACACCCTTATAAATGATGGTTTGTTCTCCTCTCCAACCAATGTGGGACATTACAGAATGTGACAACCCAAGCCCACCGTAAGCAGATATTGTCTACTTTGGTCCGTTACGTATAGTCATTAGCCTCATAATTTTAAAGCACATTTACTAAAGAGAGATTTTCACACCCTTATAAAAAATGTTTCATTATCCTCTACCACCGAAGTGGGATTTCACAAAAAAGAAGCTGGCATATTCACATTCCAGAAGTTCTTGCATCATTAAACGTGGAAAAGATGACAACCCGTTTGGGACGTTGGTCCTTATTCTTCATGTAATAAATGTCAATAAATCAGCTGTACAGTGACAGAACACGACTTAAACATTCTCATGGTCAACAGCCGCCACAGACTACCTCGTGACTGATGTCTTTCAAATTTATAAC